TTAAATAATCTTAAAAATAGTTTGACATTGTGGGAAATACTGCTTTCTTTCTGAGAGATGCATAAGAAGATTGATACCCCTCTCATGTGCATTAAATGGATCAAGAGAAGTGGATTAGCTTAGCACTGGAAGAAAGGGGAAAGCTCAAAGCTAACACATTGTATCTTCTTTGTTTAAAAAAATTATAACATTTTGTGGTTTTAAGGGAGTTATTGGTATATCTATTTCTTGACAAATAGTTCATGTATCTGCAATGTAAGCAGAAGAACAGGGTAACCTGGTTGTCACATCATTAAAATAGCCTAAACTAGCTGCTTTTCTGTGTTACATATTTGGAGCAACAACAAAATTTTGATATTTGCAACTCAAAATAACAAACCTGTTTTGAAAATGTTTACCACTTGTTTGCCCGTATGTAAAGTTTTCAGTGTTTGAGAGAGCAAGGCTAGGCTAGCTGTTACCCTCTGTTTCCAGTCTTTATGCTAAGCTAGCTCTTCATCTCCCAGCTACAGTTCCACATTTAACACAGACATGAGAGTAATATCAAGATTCTCATCTCCCAGAAAGAGAGCAAATAAAAAGTGGATTTCCCAAAATGTTAAACTTTTTCTTACACCATAGAAAGAGTTCTGTTTTGGTAGAAGCCTACATAACAACTCCGTGGGACTATATTGAAGGGTTTTTTATATAGTGTCTCATAACAGGAAAGCACAGATTTTTCTCTCTAAGGTGCATTTCCCTCCGATGACGGAGAGCCAGTTTAGCACAATGCACCATTGTGTACAAGTGCTGCGCTGATCCTCGGTATGTACTGTTTGACATTTGTGGCATTCCCACTGAGTTCTACCCCGATTATCCTTATCATTGAGAGACAGACTGATGGGAGGCCGATAAGGCCCTTACCAGCCTTTGAGCCAGGCACAGGGCTGTTACGGAGACAAATGTTCCCCCTCAATTCAGACATCCCTGTGGAGCCTATTAAAAGTTCAGAGATTCTATTTGATAAATGGATATGGAGAACAAAATGGCAGCATATTGTCTTTTGTTTGAATAGTTTTCTGCTCTAGGAATGCTGATGAAAACATCCTGTTGGCACTGTTGTACAATATATTGTATAAAGGTCTTACAGCTGTCAGGCTTGCAGTGTATTCACAGGGAGACTGATATAAAAGTGGGTGAACTCTCTGGCTTTAAACATGTTTATTGGTGTTCTCAGCATTACCTACCTTTCACTATCAGCTTTCACAAATATATTAAACAAACTATAAACACAATTCTGAAATGTTCTGCTTTATAAAGCTATTTTAGAGCATTCATTTGGTTTTGTGTTTCTGGTCACCTTATTAATTTAAATTAATATTAATATTTACTCTGCTATTAGCTCTGTTTTGGTCTCCAACAACCACTGAGGGAAATCTGTGTCTCTAGCTGCTTAATATGCGACTGTGTTCACTAGCTTGTTGTTAACTTTTTCTGTCTGCAATTTGTTGCTGGGCATGTAGCGTGCAGTGGGTATATCAGAGATTTTTCACAGAAAACAACTTGCTAATACACCTAGAAATTACACTTTTGAGAGCTGTGAGACTCAACAAAACATATGCAGTCCATAAAACCAAAACAATAAACTTAAAAGTACTAAAATGCAAAATACAGCTGAAGAAAACAGCAGATTCTGGTGATAATGCTCTGTGGAATCATCAGTACAAGCGACCACTTTCACATAATAATCCAATACAAAAATATGGATTGTAGCGGCTTCAAGTATGTAGTAAGTGTTTCGAGGCATTCTACTGTTGCCCTTAAGCAATCTCTCACACACATACATCGAGCACGGTTATGCAGTGTCACTTTAAGTATTGTCTGATTTTGTCTTTCAGTTCATGTCTAGAAATAAGTGACAATATCAACATCAATTAAGGCAAATTCAGCAGTATTAAGACACTTGAAACAAACTGAAGAAGTTTGATGTATATGACATTACCCTTTTCACAGGTTTATTTGACTTTAACAATGATTTGAATATTTGGATATTTGTCCCAGCACGACTTTACCTATCTAGCTCCATTTACTATTCAAGTGGGCTCATGATTCCACATGGATGCATTCCCTCCTCATGTCCTAATCTATAACCCTGCTATTCCCTGATCAGTGCCTGTTATCAGCCTTTATTGCACCACTGATAACCCATTCAAAGGGCGCATTAGCATATCGCCCGTGAAGTGATGACTGTAGGGCACGAGCGATTCGGATCGTAAAGCATAGATTTGCCGCTTTAGAGTAATCCACGACCCACAGGGAGCCCTGCTTCGGCAGAACGAGTTCGAGTGAAGAGATAGAAAAACAAAGTTAATGGGTGACAAACCTCAGTAATGCTCTGCTGCTATAGGGCACTGACTCCATTAGCCCGGTGAAAGCCATCCCACTGAGCTGAATGTCTTCTGCATCTGGCCTTTCTGTGGTAATGAGGTAGCACAAAAGGTATAGTCTATCTGGGTTTATGCATGCATGCACGTGCTTAGTGTCTTCCTGTGCCATCCAACAATTCAGCTGGTAGTAGTGAACAGATGATAAGAGCGAAAAACAAGGCATAAGAGGTTGTCCTTACTAATTTACATCTACATTGTGATATGACACACATTTTCACATATGAATGTCACAGTTGGAGTATCAAGTCCTTTGAGACATGCAATAAAATCCCTGGCCTGACTTCAACCAGGGATGTTGTGATTACATGATTAGTCTCTGAAAACCCCAATCCCCAGAATGCCCAGGCAACTATCTTGATTTTTAAAGCAAAAATGCTGAAAATGAACTGGTTCCAGCTTCTTAAATGTGAATACTTACTGGTTTTATTAGTCTTTCATGATAGCAAATAAAATCCATTTGTGTTCTGTATTCTGTATTCTGAGTTCTGAGTTCTGAGTTCTTTTCTTGAACAATTAATCAATACAATAATTAGCAGATGAATAAATAATGAAAATGATACCTGCTTTCAATCCAGCCGATGTGGATGGGATATTGTTTTCGGCTGACAGGACAGGTGTATTTTAACTCAAGAAAGGACAACAGAATGTTATCCTCTAACTTTGGGTGTTTGATAGAAACAGAACGTTATACAAAATGAGCCCATGTATTTATCAGGAACTTGTGTTTCACATGAACTTTTGAGTCTGGTTTGGTTCTGGAGCCTCAATAAACAGCTCCATCCAGTATAAATAGCAGAGCCTTTGGTCTGTTGCCACTGCGGCTGAGTGCAGCAGCAGGGAGGAACAGCTGTAGTCGCTCTGTCGCCGGGACCAGATCACTCCTCAGTCCTCCTGCCAGTCCTGTCTGTGCTGCACTCGAGGACCCGGAGCCTGTTTGAGGGCCTGGCTGTAATTTCACCCTACAACCTGCAGCCCTTTACCTCCTGTGTGTGTATAACTCTGTGTATATGCACACATATTTTTGTATGTGCATGTGGGATGTACAGTGTCTGCAAGTTAATAGAAGTAATCTAGCAGCTTTTTTGTGATGCTGTTGGCCACATGTCTGTTTGTTCACCTATATTTTATATAACAGTGGTTCAAATGATTTTGAACACACAAAGAATTATCAGCCGACTCCCAGTTTGGTAGTTTTAGCGTCTTTCAGATCATTGTTTTGGTTTTAGAGCTGGCAACTTTACTGTTTGGGCTCTGTTTCCAGCAGTGATTAGCCCACTGTGCACCACATGCTCAGCACCAAACAGCAGACAGACATAATTTGCCAGCTAAAACTATAATCAATGCAGCTTTAATTGTGCAATTTTATTTGTAAATTTGACTCGGCTGTTCCAAAGTGCCCTTTCTATTGAAAGACTGGACTGAAAATCCTACATTTGTATAAAAAGCCATAATCACATAAGACAAAACAAACTTTACTAGTTTACATGTATTACCTATGATATCTATGATTCAGATACATTTTACAGTTTGGGAAAAGAGATTTGCAGTGTAGAAATCCTAAGTAAAATTCTGCAAATAAAAATTGTAAATGGCTGCATTATATCTTTTAACAGACACTTAACTAAATAAACCATTGGAAATCAAAGTAAGAGCATGTTACCTTGAGGCAAAACCTTGCTAGCATGAAAGATTTCTGGAGTGCAGTAAATGACAGGAATCTGAAACATGCACAGTTGCACAATACCTGAATCAAAGCTGAAAACAATAATAGGTAAAACATGACTGTAGTCAAAGTGAATTTCCTGTGTTAATGTGAAATGTGGGCTGCTTTAAATGAGGCCTCTAGGTGCCTGATGGGTCGCTTGGCCCCGCTCCCAGAACAGTTTGTAAAGGAAGGATTAGGCTGTGTTAATTGGATAGATGGTCCAAAAAGATTAAGTGCACCGAGGAGCATTTCTTCACCCCTTCAGCCCGACACAGTCGCTGAATAACGGAGCCCTTGGCTGTAAACACAAGGCCCAGATACAGTGTGTTAATGTGCCGACAGAGCTGTTGGCCTGGGAGGGGCCCACGGGTAGAGATTTCTGACCAACAATTTCTGAACAAATGGCTCAGTGCTTTGAGCTAAATGCTAACATCAGTGTGCTAACATGCCTTCAAAGACAATGCTATCATGCTCATGTTTCACAGTCTAACATTTGCTAATTCGCAGTAAAACAAGTTTTGGCTGATGGGAATGTCATTAGTTTAGCAGGTGTTTGGTCCTAAACTAAAGTAAGATTTTGCCTTGATGATGGCGCTAGATGACAGTCAGGGGATCACCAAAGTTATTACAAGTTTTAGGGCAATCCATCCAGTTTTTCAGTCTGACCAAAATGGTGTACCAACCATCAAATATTGCTATTACCAGATCCACGCCACTAGTGTGGCTAAAATTAATCTAGTGCTGATTGAAATCTTCCCTACTCTTGAATGACCTTTAATTGTACCATAGAATACCTTAAAAGTCAGTTTATACCCTCCCTCTGGATCGGTAACCATACCAAACTCATTTCTATCTCCGTCTTACTGCAGGTCCTTCAAGCCAGACTTCGTCCTGATCCGCCAGCACGCCTACAGCATGGTCCCCGGTGAGGACTTCAGGAACCTTGTGATCGGCTTGCATTTCGGCGATGTCCCGAGCATCAACTCTCTCTTCTCCATCTACAACTTCTGCAGCAAACCTTGGGTGGTAAGCAATCTTTAACTGCTCTGTTTGCTCTACTTTAACCCACACAAAGGTGTCGTGAGTCCCTCCCTCGGAGGCTGACTGATTTATTTGGGCTATTAAAGGGAGCTGTAACACCTGTCTCTGGAGTCGGCAGAGCGAGTGGCCACCACCACCACCACCACCACACATTATTACTCACTCTGTACTGAGAGAAATATATAATGGTGTGAATGCTTGGCTCTGCATGGGTTGATAATTGTAGTCCTGTCAGCTACATTACAAGTTTAAAGGAGCAAGTATGTTCAATAAAAGACTGTAACAAAACTCACTGTTGGATTTCTTTGAAAAAACATTATCAAGAAAATAAGTACATGTTGCTTTTCAAGCATATTAACTATTAGTTTCTGCTACTTAAATGAAAGTCTTTAAAATACACATGGATCTCTGGCCATTTTGACAGAGAACTCCACAGCAGTGGTTCCTACTTTTTTAGTCCACAGCACCCTTCAAAGGGAATTTTTTCATGTCACCCCGTGCCACCCAACCCCTAATATAACATACACATGTGCACAGATGCTTATTGGTATTAAGAATTTTATGTAATGTTATCAGCCGCAGCATAACCTTATTCAACTGAGATTTCCATACAGTGGTTTTATATATTCATTGCTCTCTTCTTTTGTTTTGACATATTTGAACACATAAAATAAAATGTAGTTAATGTATATTTCACAGGTTTTTAATGTGGTGAAACTGTTCTCTTCTTGTACAATGTAATGATGTGCATCCTTTTTTACAAACTACACACCTGTTTACTTCCTTTGTACATATTGTACATAGCTTTGTACATACTGTTAATAGTATAGTATTTACCACTCGTTTATAGTGTTTTTCAGCACTTTGATAATCACATCAGTGTCTTAGCCATTTGCAATATTAGCTTGTCATGTTTTTGTGCGGATTTTCACAGCTTAGCTAATGTTAGTTCACAATGGCTCTTTTTCTACACGCAGTGCTTGGTAGAGCTGCCAAAATGAAAGTGAAACTGTGACCTCATGGGTCGCTGGATAAGGGGTTTAAATTGTATGTGTGCATGTGCAATACCTTCCATTCACTTCTCACTCTGACTAATGCTTGGCATCAGCAGGAAAGGTGTGAAAGCTTCACTTAAATGATTATCAAAATGACCAAAAATGCTAAAAAAATAAAAAAGGTAAATACTATTAACAATGTGTACAAAGCTAACTGTGAAAAGCAAAGTAACTGACGTAAGGATAAAAAAAGCCATGTTGGAGGTGAATGTAACATTACTGGAGAGTTGACAGGAAGTAAACAGACGTGCAGTTCGTAAAATGGACATCACACTACATTGTGCAAGTACAGAATAAAAAACGCACAGTATCATAACAATTATATGATGAATCTTGCAGCACCTTTGGCCCTTTGCATGTCTTTTTGCTTTCGGAAATAAGGAATCATGTCAACCTTGCTAGCCTCAAAGAACTATTGATGATCGGATTTGGTGCTTCAGTGCCCCTCAGTTGGGGAACCACTGTGTTAACTGCTTTACCACACAAAAATAATGTGACTTTGACAACTATAAAGGCAGGCAAGTTGTTCACTGTGACACTGTAGGTACTACTGTATCTGCAACAACTATAGCCTACTGTAATAAACTTACACCAATGGCTGTCTGGAGAGTAGAAAATCAGGAAACCCATGCTATGTTTGGAATGGTTGCCAACAATGTAAAGTATATATTAATTCAAGCTGATAAGGCTTAAACGCTCAGACCATATGAGCTGATGCATTGTACTGTATATTTAGTTATTGGTTTGTATTGGTGAATATAAACCATTAACAAAATTCCCTAAAAGAGCTGCCATTTGGCAAAGACATCTTACAGTCACACAGGGAAGCAGTACCATTATAAAACAGGTAGAGAGACATTTCTCTCCCAGTGTCGCAGGAAATTGCCCAGAATACATTGCTGCTACAATGTCAAGCAAACCTTAATGTTATGTTAACCCACAGCTGGAACACCATTAACTGAAGTAGGTAATAAGAGGAAGTAGTTCTGGTCCACGAGAAAGGGAAATTACAACACCTCAACATTAAATAACTCCTGAATGCATGGCTCCTGTGGATCTGACAATATGTTTTTCCATTTAGGGCAACAGGTGTTCAGACTTCTATTGTCAAGAGTTGGGTCTAAGTGTACTGAGTCACATTTTATAAGCATGTGAGAGGGCAAAACGCCTCCATGCCACCCTAATCCAGTGTTGAAATCTAGATTATCCATCATGCAACTTGTCCTCTGGATATGAATGTACACACACGTAACATCGAAATGTTTCTATCTATAATCTCCTGTCCTCTACTGCTTAAATAATGACGTCTGATTGTCTTTATTTCTACTTGCAGTTTTCTCAGATGATTAAGCTCTACCACTCCCTCGGTCCTGAGAAATTCCCCCTGAATGAACAAACCTTCTATCCCAACCACACGCAGATGGTGAGTCCCTCGCCTTCATTGAATTCACCACACTCACACAAAAGAATCACCATAGACCATCTGTGGCCCGTTTTTCATTAAATCTTTATTATAAAAATATAAAACACAGAAATTAAGTCAAACATTTCTATAACCCCTACAAGGAAACACCCCTCCCCCACACACACTTCAGGAATCAGACTGTACACAGCTTCCTTGATTGGATTGTTCTGTTTTTTTTGTTTGTTTTAAAGGATCAAACTTGACCAAGTGTTTCTGTGTTAAGCAGACAGTATATTTACACAAACATGAACCACAGAAATAGTGACACAGAAACGCCACAGTTGGAGAAAGAGCCTCGTCATCACATATAAAGACAGTTAGGAGATTTAAGTATTTTCCCTCAAAGTTCAATAATTATTTACTTTTCTTGTAACTTCTTAAGAACAAAATGATGCCTAATCATTAGTCTGTGTGTTGCATTCTCAAGTCATATATTCATTATGAAGAGGAAGCCGATTAGTTAGTTAAGTTAGCTAAGATGGATTGAGGGATATTTTGGTAAAAGCTGAATGCTTGTGTTGCAAAATTAAACATGGTAGATTAACGCCACTGAAATCAAATACTTATTGAGTAACAGATACAAGCCATTGTTGTCTTCCTCCTCTGATATGATCTGAGGCTGCTTTCACATGAATAAAACACCACATTTCTGTCATTTTGGAATGGAGATGAATTTGAAGTTGAAATAAGCTTTTTCGCTTTCTTGCCAATAGTTAGACGAGAATTTTGGTACCACTCATGTTTTCTCGTTAAATACAAGGCTACTGCCACAAGATGATTAGCATAGCTTAACATAAATGCTCAGTCCAAAGGTAAAAAAAAATTCCTTACCAGCATCTCTAAAGCTCACTTATTAACATGTTACACTTGCCTGTTTAATCCTTTCAAAAACCAAGTGTAAAAGTGTAAAAACCGTAAGACTCCAGGAAGTCACCACGTCTGGCCAGGAAACAGCCCAACACATAATTCCCCATAATATCTCAACTTTAAGTTTTTACACTTTGATTTTTGTACAAATTAAAGGAGATATAAGGTGATAATTGGTGCGCTGTAGTGGTGCTGGTAGGGAAATAATCTTACATTTGAGTTTTCCTTTTTTCCCCCCTGTCTTTATGCCGCTGTAAGCTAAGCTAACCGGCTGCTGGCTTAGCTTCATATTTAGTGTACAGACATAAAAGTGGTATTCATTTTCTCATCTAACTCTACGCAAGAAAGCAATTATGAAAACAACCAATTTGGTCGAAACCACAGTTGGTGTCCTAAGCGCTGCCTGCGTCAACGATGCAATATTCTTTTAGCATTAGTGGTGATGGGGCCGTTACTCCCTATGAGGCAAATCTGTGTCTGTTAATGGAATGGACTGAAGGTACAGCACTGGGAAAAAATAAGAAAAAATCCCTAGAAGGGAACAGGTGAAGAAAAATGAATTTAGTGACAATATTGTTACTTTCATTTATATATATCCATTTGAAATAGTTAAATACAAAAAGATTGAATATACACTTACAAAATATCTCATTTTCTGAAACCTCTGCTTATACTAGACTTTCATTGGATTGGTGGAAAGTACCAGTCGGGGTATCTATGATCATGCTAACAAAACAGTACCATAAGTACAATACCATTGGAGATGCTGGTACTTCATTCTGGAAGGTTACACAGGCTGTGATGGTTGTCACAATGTAGTTTTGACCTGTTATTATATATATTTTCTTCTTCTTTTTTTGCAGATATACTACATGGTTACTGTGTAATCCAATAAACATATAAATAAATGAATTACAGAGGTTTCAGCTGAGTTGATAGTTCATTTCTGTAGCTTATGTTATATACAGCAAAAAATAAAATATCACCATCTCTGCTAGAAGTGAGCTCTTCCCTGCGTTGGCACTGTAATAGACATTTGTAGCATTTCTGATCTGTCAATCAGTGCTTAACAGAAAGGGCGTTGTTTGTGATATAACTGCAAAACGAGTTACATTGCAAACATTCAGGTAAGCAGAGATAATACCATCCATAAAGACACATGTTACAGTAAAAACTGAACATAATCGATGTATACTTCACTGTAAAACAATACCATTTTCAAAAAAGTTTTCTAAAGCCGAAATAAGAAGTATAACTCTCAGAGAACACACCTCACATTGGCACTCGGTCTGTATTGTTGAAAAGATTCTTGGCTCTGCTCTGTATTGGTGATGTGCAGAACTGAGTCTTAGCAACAGTGTAACACCTTTACATCTCGGATTAGTGATCACTGGCTGTACTTTTGTACATCATCACCTTTAGAGTCCTTGCTTTATCAAATATAAACTGCAATTCACAAAATTACCAGAATACTAGCAGTAGGCTAACTTAGGTTCACTAATTAACACCAATGATACTTATTGGTACTTTTAATTGTGTACAGGTCACTGCATGTCATGGGAATTAGTTCTTCAGTTCGGAAGATCCCATCAAAGTCTTACACTGCTTATTTGCCTTTTAAAAGTATGTCTTTGTCACCTTTTTAACGCCACAGAACCCTTAAAAAATAGTTTGGAGCAAGTACTTTTTGATTCGTGGTTTAGGAAAATGATAATAGAGTCAAACAAGGGCAATCTGCACAACAAAAAAGGTATTGTTTTCTACTAGAAGTGCTACGAAACAGGCACTGTAATGGATTCGATTTTTTCTCTTTTTTTGCCCATTTAAAGAGGCTGTCACCCAGGCCAGTGAGCTTAAAGAGTCCTGTAATACTCTAGAAGTGATCGGGATGGGACGGAGTCAGGGAGATGGCAGTGGATTTCAGGCAGGGTGCTTTGGGGTTCAGGGGTCGGTGGCGTTGATGGTGGTTTTGTCACGTGCGGTCATGCCCCGGTACCAGCTGCAGTAGCCCTCCTTCTGCTGGATGCAGGCGTAATGCCGGGATTGGTAGCCAGGATAGCCGAAGTGGGACAGCATGTCCGTCCATAGGCACTCGTTCTTTGAGGTCACGAAGCAGGGCAGGTAGTGGCAGGGCTTAATCTACAGAGACAGAAGCGAAACTAAGGATGTAGCCATGAAGCAGGAAACAAACTGCATACTAGCAACAACTAGTGTAGACTCACTGTGCTTTTTTATTAAAATACGTTTCCTTTTCCTTCTTACTGTAATATATTTTGAAGCTTAATCCCACCCTTCCTTTGTTATTGTTTTTATTCTTGACATGTCTAATCTCTAATATGTCATCATTTGGTAAACTTTATACTTCCATACTTAAAATATTTTAAGTGCAATTTAGGTTAACTTAATAGTTTGACATTTTGGGAAATAGATTTATTTGTGTTCTTACAAAGGCTAAGATAAGACTGACACCACTCTCTGTCAAATAATACAAATATGAAGCTATAGCTAGTGGGCAATTAGCCTAGTAAGCATAATATTGGAAACATGGGGAAATGGAGTCTTTCCAAAGTTTACAAAAATTCACGTTTAGCCCCTCTAAACCACTATTTAACAAGTTGGAACCTTTTGGTTTACCATGTTAAAAAGTGAGCTGTCCTATGTTTTATTTTTAAACTCTGGATAAAGCTTGCCGTTTGTCCCTTCGTACGCTAAAGTAAGCTAACAGTCTCCTGGCTGTAGCTTCAAATTTAGCTTGAGAGTGGTATTAATCTCTATAAATCTCGCAAATAAGTATATTTCCCAACATGAAAGCCATTCTCTTAGAGTTGCTGAACAACATATTGGGCTTATTTTCTTATTGAAGCTAACCGTAATTGGCAGTAGGCTAGCAAGCAACTTCAACAGTGAGTCTACAGTGTAGAAGTTTGAGCAAAGGCCAAAGTAGAATTAGCTTAATGAGCATTAGCGTATGAAAAATATCTCAAAATTGTACAAGAGAAATAAGCATCAAAGAAAGGAAGTGAGTATATGATTTGGTTGAAATATAAAAAGGGTGAACATGCACTTGGTGAAACATCTATAACATGGAATCTTATCTTCTCTACAGCTTTTCAGCTTTTGCTTTCAGTCATTCACTTCAGCAGATAAATAGGTGAGGTGTAAAAAGGCAGCTTTTTAAATAACTAAGTGCAAAACCAGTAAGCGTACCCTGGCATTCGTATGCTTTGTGCAGTGGAATGTTAAATTAACGTCAGCCATCTTCCTGAAGCAGTGATGTTTTTGTAGTTTCCTAATGATTCAATTAGTTTTTATTGAGCCTCTTTCGTGCGTCACACCTCCAGGTGCTCACACAAAAAAAGCAGCTTTGCGGATGGATTTTACGGCATGAATTGACAGGAAGATTCACACAACTACTCAGAGGTGATGAACGGAAACGCGGTATTTAGTGACAGCAAAACAGAGTCATCAGCTGCATAGTGCTGCACTTATCTAGATCTGGGAACGAGCCAGAACATTCAATCAGCAAGTTAGAGGGCACACTTCCCATTTTGGGTCTTTTTGTTATTCAAGCCTGGAGAGTCTGTCCTCCACGGTTCAGAGATGTTCGACATAACTTCCTAGGTTAGAGTGGTTTTAATGGTGTGTAGAGAATAATTTTCTAACCGGTACGACACACTTCCTGCTTTCTAGCGCAGCAAATCATCATCATTTGTGGAGCAATGTGGAGGACGGCGGAGTGTGTTTTTAATAAGTGTGATGATGTTTACGCCTGCCTGTGCTTACTGACTCGCAGACTGAAGTCTCAGTTGATCGATGGCCTTCTCTGGATGCCTCTGGGCTGCTGCCATGTACATGCTGAACACAGTTTACAGGCGCTGGCCCACAATGGGAACAAATAGGTCCCTCTGCTAATCCACTTATACTGATAGGGGCCGATGGTGTTAGCAGATGTTCAGGACACTGCTGTACAGTAGGACGTTTACGAGGCGGGTCAGCAGCTGCACAGCGGCAGGCTACATGTTTGAGTCACATAAAACTGGGAATGAGGACTTGAGCTGATTCCAGAGCTGTTATTAAATAAGTCCCAATGG